ACTTTATTTAATTACTAAGCATACATTGACATTTGAAAACGAGGAAATTTTTTGCCCTAAGAAAATAAATACTAAACATAAAATCTATTTTTTGTGATAGTTAAACAACATTATTGTATTGATATATCAGATATTATCAATTGAACGAATTATACATTTCATTCAATGAGCAAGCAATAAGCACAACTTTAAATCTTAATAATACATTTAAATCATTCAATATTATAAGTATGTACAATCTTATTGAGAAATTTTATTCTTCCAATTTTTTTGACCAAAAAAAAATATTTGATTGAAATATAATCATAAAATTATAATCTTGAAATAAATCATTCGGTGCAACATAGATATTATCTTAAAACTGGCAATTGAATCATAGGCTTCATTTAAAATTTTGAATATCATCATTCTACAATAAAGATCAAGAATATTCTGGAAGGGTTGCAACTCACTTAGAAGCAGGATTACAAGAAAGTCAGACTCTTCATTGATTCTACAAAAGCCTTGAGACTCATTTACTGGAACTATTCCTCAAATCATCCATTCACAAGTACCGTTAGAAAAATCTGAAATTATATAATGCGTGATTAGAAATTTGATCATGTGCCTGGAAAAGCTAACAAACATCTGGTTTGGTTGACCGCTAACTCACCATGGTTATTGTGTGGGCACTGGGCACCACAATTCTCCACTCTCGTCCAATAGGTGGTAGAACTTTTTCTGCTTGAAGATTGGCGCCAAGGGCTAAGTTATGTTAACTTATTCATGTATTTGCACTGTTCGCAAAAATAAAAAAACAAAAAAGGATAGGCAATTACAAGCTCCCCCTTTTTGCCAAGTGTTTTGGACAATTAACTTTCCTTTTTTCTCCCAAAAAAAAGGCTTTTTAGTTTACTACTTTTTATTTTTGGGTTATCTGTAGTCATCCCCCCCTTTAAAGTGTAGGCATCTCTTCCAAGCATGATTTGAATATTAATTTATTATATTATAAAAAATTAATTTATTTTATTAGAGTTGAAAATAAAGATCAAGCATGGAGAGCCTATTTAAATAAAAATTTAAACTTGAAAATATGAGATTTTTAGAGTAACCAAACTTCTGAACCCAACCTTGATAATTCCTAAAAAAAAAGTTCGGTCCCAAACGGCCCTTCAAGTATTGTTCTATTTTTTTCCTTTTACCTTAAAATGCACCATTTGGAAAATTAAAAAAAAAAAACCTAAACATTTGATTATTTTAAGTTCTCGAGCTTACTTTGTCTTTCAATTCAACCTCTCCATCTCGCCTTCTCCTTTCCTCTAACTATCTCTCCAGTCTCCTCTCCCTCTTACCACTCTACTCACCCTCTGGCTCTCTCCATCTTTTGACTCACCTCTCCCTCTTGTCTCTTGATTTAGTATCTCTCAACTCAGTATTTCCCTCTTGACGTTTTATGGCTTTGGCTTTTTAGCTCTCTTACTTTCAGGTAATTCCTCTTTGGGCATAAACCTTTGGGAGAATTACATTCAGGTCCTATACAAGGAAAATAATTACTATAAGATTTATTAACAACTAAACTAATTAATTTTCTTTTGTGGGATTTCATTGTAATTCTCCCTAAACTTTGTTTCTTTAGGTCATAGATGTTCGAGATTTTCAATTTGATACTTACTTTTGAGATTTTAATTTGATATGAAAATTTTGGTCCCTCATCTTATTTTTTGAGGATTATATCAATATACATCAATATTTTTTTCTTGAAATTTGTTGTGAATTATAATGGTATCAACTAACATGTATTTAAACTTTTAAATCTTTTACTTATTTTATAGATGATGTGAGACCTTGATTTAGTTTATGTTGAATTTAAAATTTAAATTATAATATTGAATATTATGATGTTGAATAATTATTTTTTGAAAGAACAACATTAAGTTATAATATTATTTTTTTTATTTTTTTTTCAAAACCGAACTTTCGAAGGGCCAGGCCTCAAGATTTGGTCATTGGATTTTAAGACCTAAGTTCTTAAGGGTCGAACCCATTCATTTTTCCATCTATCTATTTTATTAGACTCAATTTTTGTTGGCTACTCCTTTCAGTATCATTTATAAGTCACATTTTAGAAAGTGCATTTGGTCCTATTTATAAGTCACAATTCAGCTTTTTAGATAATATTTAAAAAGTATATTTAAAATTATCTTTCATGGGAGAGAAAAAGTAATATGATATTATTTTTTAAATTTATTATATAAAAATATGTTTAAAATTTTATATACTTTTATTTTATTTACTTTTTTGAATTGATATTGTTGAGGTTGTTACAAAGAGGATTGAATGAGTATTTTATTCCTGTTGGCCCAGATATTCTTGAAATGTTGACGTAGCGGCCGGCAAACTATTTTTTTGACATTGGACTGTCTGAAAGAGTGAAACTCCGAACAGTTCAGAGAGAACACTGTGGGCTTTCTCCGGACCCACTCACATTAAACAGCCTGAAGATCCATGAAGAAATGGAAACCTGCAAGGCCTGGACCAAAACATCTCACTCTGTCTTATTTATTGCATTATTCTATGTTTAATAAAATAAAACTATATAACTTGCTCTCCAGGTGCAAAATAATGCATCGGACTCAAGATATATATTTTTTAAAAAAATCTATGCCATTAATGAAAACATGAAGATACAACTTTTGAAATTCATCAATTGGAAAATATCTTAAAAGAAATAAATAGTATGAGTTATCTTAAAGATATGTTTAAGCTGAACTAATAATAATTGTTTTGTGTGAGTTACGAGTAGCTGATAAGTAGAGCGTTTTTTGTATGAACTGTATATAGAAAGTACTCCTTCCGGTCCTTAATACATGATGAAGTTTTAAAAAATTTTATTTTAAATACAACATGAAGTTAAAGTAATTAATAATTTTTTCTAAATTTATCCCTTATTTATTTATTTTCATTTGAATTCAAAAACAACAATTTATTTAGATCATTGGAGACAAAAAGGATAAAAATTAAAAATTTACTAATATTTCTTAATAAATATAAAATTTGTTAACTTCATCTTATATTATAGATCAAAGTATTATTTCCTTCGTTCAAAAATATAAGGCATTTTTAACTTAATCTCACTCTTAATAAAGTAATTATCTACTTTTAAACTAACCTTACCTTTTTAAATTTACACCTATTAAATACTTTATACTAAATATAAAATTATTATTAATATAAATTTAAAAAAAAATAAAAAATACACTTTAAAAGATTAAAAATATTATATATTTTTTAATATTTAATTTTTTATAAAATACTTCACCCTCTTGAATAGAGCCGGGGACTTTATATTTGGAAGGATAGAATTATCCATAGGAATAAAGGTGGAGGTGGGACCAAAATGATGAAGAGCATCCACACCACACTGAAAATCACAATGAGAGCTAAGACAGAGCATCATCATATGATTGCCTGACCCAGACAGGCAATGAAATGATGAAAGCAGCAACTTGGGAGCTTTAAAGGATTCAGACCCACTTCCTGTTTAACAAATATGCTGCATCCTTATGTTAGCAATGAGCTTAGTGTCCATTGGACTTTGAATATGACTATTTTTAATAAAAAATATATGTATAATAAAAAAAAATATGTATGTGAAAATTTACATCGATCTTATATTTAAATCGTGTTTAATTATATCACCAAAATCAGAATTATTTAAATCATTGATGTTATCTACACAACAAAGAATTTTTTTAAAATTTTTATTATTAAATGCATCTTTTAAACAAAAAATTCTCTCTTATAGATATCTTTTTACTCAATTTATTGAAAACTGTTGAAGAGTAAACTTAAATAAAGTAATCAATAATTTATCTTTTTATTCAAAATAAATTATAAAAATTACTCTCTTCTTTCAATATTATTAGACTTTTTTTTAAAGTAGCATGTTTTTTTTTACTAACATTTCAAAGTATCATGTCAAATAATATAATGCAATTAATAAGATTTTTCCAACAATATCCTTAGTTAAGGGTGTAATCAGTAAGGTTTTCTAATTCTATAATATTTTAAAAAGGGATAAATATGCAAAATGTATGTAATTTTAAGCTTTAATTAATTGACAGTATAATTTGGTAAAAAAATTCTTTATAATACTAAACGGAATGGATTTTTTTATATAATATCTCCTTCATCCTAAAATATAAGATACTTTAACAAAAATAAAATTTTATTAATGATTCTTTTTTAATATTACCATTTCCATTTTATTCTTTCTCTGTAGTATTCTTTTACAAGTAAAATATTAAATGAAAGACATTTTTAAAAATTTATATTTTTTTAAAAAATAAAGTTGTAAAATATATTTAATGAATTATATTTATGTGCATGATTTTATTTAAAAATGTCTTATAAATTAGGACAAGATAATATATATTACTTCTGTTTCAAATTATATGATAATTTTTAAAAAATAAAATTTTATTAATAATATTTTTTAAATGTTATTTTGAAGAGAATTAAAATGATATTGTAAGGCTGACTAAATGCACAAGGACATTTTTAAAAATTTATCCCTTTGTTTTAAAAGAATAAATTTATAATGCACCATTATCATGTTTTATTAATATACATAATATTATTTTAAATTGTCTTATGACTGGAGTATATTATATAACAGTGCCAGGTATCGGGTAGGTCATGCTCCACAAGTATAATCAGCCGTACTAGGCCTTTTCGTATTAGACTTAGGTCGAAAATAGTCACGCAAAACCAAAGCCAAAGCCAAATGAGTCAAAGCTTTAGATTTCATGGACAAGATGTCTACATGAAGTATAGGAAGCATCGTAGTCATGCCCCAACTAGCCACGCTTATCCCAATATCATTAATAAATAATTAATACGTGCCGCTCTCTTTAAATTATCAACTTCCCATAAAGCTAGACTTCTCATTGCCAAGCTGTCTTTCGGCTTTCCCAAGAACCATAAAAGGATTATTGAAATCAGAGGCACAGTAACAATGGAATCAATGAACGGATTAACCAGACAATGCAAAGCTTATGAAAGCTTCCTTCTTTTTCTTCCTTTGCTTTAATTAGCTTTGTTTATACATAGAGAGAGTGAGCTTGACGTGAATCGCTTTTACTTCTTCCATTGGTCCCCTTCTCTTCCCTAAATATAAAACCCATCTCAGCTTCCATTTTCTTCATGTACTCCCATTTCAATGGCGAAATCAGGGAGTTCTCTGGTTTTTCTCTTCTTCTTCTTCTTCGCTTCTCCATTGGTATGCTGTAGGAGCATACCACATAGCTCAAGGACCACAGTACTTCATGTCGCTTCTTCCATTCAGAACACCCAGAAATTTTTCTCCAATACCCCACGAGCTTCGCTGAACCAGCAGCAACTGAGGTCTTCTCCTTCGTCTTCCCTCACTCTGCAACTTCATTCTCGAGCTTCACTTCATAAACTTTCGCATGGGGATTACAAATCTCTCACTCTAGCTCGACTCGAGCGCGATTCAGCCAGAGTCAGATCGTTAATAACCCGGTTAGATCTGGCCTTGAAACGCGTTACTCCGTCAGATCTTCACCCTGCTGGTAGCGACAAGTTCAAATTTGGAGTAGAGGAAATGCAAAGTCCCATTATCTCTGGAACGAGTCAAGGAAGCGGCGAGTACTTCACCCGAGTCGGAATCGGCAAACCACCGAGTCAAGCATACATGGTGCTCGACACCGGCAGCGACGTCAGCTGGATTCAGTGCGCGCCGTGCGCCGATTGCTATCAACAAGTCGACCCTATCTTCAACCCGGCTTCATCGGCTTCCTACTCAACGCTCTCCTGTGAGAGCCCTCGATGCAAATCGCTGGATTTATCAGAATGCCGCAATAATACTTGCCTCTACGAGGTTTCCTACGGCGACGGATCCTACACCGTCGGCGACTTCGTGACGGAGACTATAACCATCGGCTCTGCATTGGTTAGAGACATTGCCATTGGCTGCGGCCATAATAACGAGGGCTTGTTTGTCGGCGCTGCCGGCTTGCTCGGTCTCGGTGGCGGCTCGCTGTCTTTCCCGTCTCAGCTCAATGCAACGTACTTCTCTTACTGCCTCGTAGACCGCGACTCGGATTCGGCTTCCACTCTCGAGTTTGACTCGCCGTTGCCTCCTAACGCCGTTACGGCTCCAATGCACCGTAACAGGGAACTCGACACTTTCTACTATCTCGGTCTAACTGGAATCAGCGTCGGAGGTGAGATGCTTCAGATTCCCGAGTCGAGCTTTCTGGTAGACGCCACCGGGAATGGCGGCATCATCGTAGATTCCGGCACGGCGGTGACGCGGTTGCAGACTGACGTGTACAAGTCGCTCCGGGACGCGTTCGTGAAGGGGACGCGCGGATTGCCGCCAGCGAAGGGCGTGGCGCTGTTTGACACGTGTTACGACCTGTCTTCCAAGACCAGCGTGGAGGTCCCGACGGTGTCGTTTCACTTCCCGGAGGGGAAGGAGTTACCGTTACCGGCTAAGAACTACCTGATACCGGTTGACTCAAACGGCACGTTTTGCTTGGCGTTCGCGCCTACTACTTCGGCGCTATCAATCATAGGCAACGTTCAACAGCAAGGGACACGTGTCGGTTTCGACCTCAAGAACTCCTTCGTTGGATTCTCTGCCAACAGCTGCTAGTAAGGGGCTTTTTGTTTTGGCCGATAACAGTGACATTTAACCTCCGGTTACTGTTTTACGCCCTTAAAAGTGGAGCTTTCTCTGTTTGCGTGAGTGTGGGTGGGTCCCATTGGGATAAGGTTGTAATGCGGTGGGACCCGCTGAATGGCTTGACGTTTGTTGACTTGAGATTTGATATAACCATAACAGCAATTGTAAGAATTAAGAGACTTTAAAACTAGGCCTCTGAAATTAGTTATTAGTTATTACAAACGTCTTGAATGTTCGAACAATAATATTAAATGGTAAACAGAAGTTAGCAATGTTACGAAGTGAACACATTTATCTTGAATCAGGAAAATTGCAATTTGGCCAACGATTCAAGTGTTTGAGTGTTCCAATTAAGGTTATTAAATTTATGAGTTTAAACGAATAATTTTGTCAGTTAAAAATATAAAAATGTTAAATTTATAAAATTAAGTTGAGAGTTTGACAAGTATGATTTTAATCTTTTTTTTAGGCAAGAAAAGAAAATACATAAACAATAATAATAATAAAAAAGTTCACAAAGTCAGGGATAAAGCAGAAGCATTGTAAGGATAAAAATTAGCATTAGCAATAAATAAAAATCATGTGAATTACATTTCCGAACGATACATCTGTTGAAGTTGTCCAAAAGCTTTTGCAATATCTTGATTCATGAGGAGTTGTTGACTAGAGCAAAAGCAAACGCTATTGTTATATCTAATCTTCAAACTCTCAGAGCTCTTTACCTCTCCAAAATAATTCAAATAGAAACTCCTAATCCAGAGAAAGATGATACTTTCCTAAACTCGAGGGAACGGGCTCATAGGCAACGAGGCCCGAGCGATCCTTCATCTCAAAGCTTGTTATGAGATCAAGGACATGGAGAAGAAACATGTGTCATTGGCATTGAGTTTCTATGATTTTCCGGGGGCATTTATAAGCAAAGCCTAAAAGGGGCACGTACAAGAAGTCTAAGAATAGATATTGAATGATGGCATTTGATTTGTAAAGAAGCAATCTAATCCAAACTTCATTGTTGAGAGATAAAGAAACAGCATAATAAGATTACTTTCTTTTTTAAAAAACATGTGCTTGAATCTCTTAGTTGACTGAATGCACTTGATTATGAGAGTAAGAGATAAGAATTCCTCTAGTAATTTCAAGATTTATATTTTCTCCTCTGTGTTGACTTCTATTCTGTTTGCATACACCTTTCAGAAATATGTATCATTAAAATCTTTAATGACCTGCTCAATAAGGGGACCTTACTTATAGGGTTAGTAATTCGGGTGAGTCGTGCTTATATGATTAAATTTAAAGTATCATATCATCTTAAATAAGCTCATATAATCAAGTCTAATCTTGACTCTTTGCGGTCAGTTTGGGTTGGCCTGTCGAGCTTAGCAAAAATTACCTACTCTACATATACATAAAGCTAAAAATTTTAGGGGTTATACTTATTTGAGTTGGGTTCAATTTGAACCAAGCTTAAAATATCCTAACTTTTTGAAAAAGCTCATATAGCTCGGCCTTGAATTTTTTTAGGAGGATTTAGGCTGACATGTTGAGCTTAACCTGAATTTCCAACTCCACTTACCTATGAGAGTGAGAGATGAAAATTCCTCCAATAATTCCAAGATTTATATTTTTTTTTCCTTTGTGTTGACTACTATTCCATCTGCATACATCTTTGAAAAATATGTACTGTTCATTAAATCTTTAATGTTCAGATATTGATACCTAAGGTATGACTATTTCATACTTTGTATTACAAGATGTCCAGAAGGTGATCAAGTAGATGGTCAGATATTGATAAATAAGCTATTGTGTTTTAATAAGTAAATACGTGGTTGGCCCAAAAAAAAAGTAAATACCTGGCTGTTACATCCTCTAAAATATTTTATCCTTTAAAATACTTCATACAAGCTATTCAAAATATTATTAACTATATAAGTTCTGATATTGATAAAAATGTATCCAGACTTGTTTGTGATTTCCTGATGTCATCCTGCAATCAAAGAATTAATACATTCAATTTCTTTAAACCAAATTATAAACACTTTTTAAATTTTCAAATACACATTCTATATTAACAAGATAACATTCATGTTTTCATAAAATAAAATCCAGTTATCTTTGGGGAGATTTTCAACATTCCAAAAACAATCAATATTGTCTAACTTCACAATTACCATTCAAAAAACTACAGTATAACCTTAAAATAGTTGCATAACGAAGTCCATTTATTGACCTTGGCACAAACTTTTTCAAGTCATTCTCGTGATATCTGTGTCTTTTTAAAGCAGGGGTACTTCTTACATTTTTACAATTTTTTTTTTTTGCCAATCTTATTTTTTTACTTCAAAGCATAATTTCCCTTCAATGGTAGGGCTTGCATTGAAATTTTAGAATCCTATGGACTCAAAGTCAAAATGCAATAATGTTCGTAAATGACATTCTCCCTATAAAGTAATTTTGTGATGAGAACATTCATGATATTGACGTAAATGTAGTATTATTTTTTGGCAACATGATGGGATCGAATTTTTAGGGAATAAAATTGCCCAAGAAGAATTAATCTGCTTCTGAAATTCCCGGGATTCCCGAGGCAATATGCAATAGTTTTTTAATCCTGTCTGATTCAATTCAACTCAAAATAATCTCAATTTTATTCGATCTGTATAGATATTGGTTCTTTAGAATCAAAAAGACTAAAAAAATAGGTTATACTGGACAAGAGACTAGACATCTAGATCACTTGGTCTAGTCCAGTCTTATTAATTCTTTTATTATAATTATACTTAATTTATTTTTGACAAATGTTTGAAGTGTAATTGATGATAAGAAGATAATTATATGAAAATTTGTTGAGTTTGTTTCTAAATTATTGTTATAATATAATGTTGTTTAATTTTATTGAGTGCTGTTTTTGTTAAAGTTATAAATTTAAATCACTTAGACTATAACAGAAATATTTTTTTTCTTATTGTTGGAAATTATTATGGATTTATTATTATTATAAGTATTTTTACTATCTCAATTGAGTTTATCATGTTGAAATAAATTATTGACTCTCATATAATAAAAAGAGGAAAAAAAAAGCTAAGTGAGTACTGGACTGATAGGATCAGTCTCTCAATCCTATGAATCAAGTTCGGTTCTATTAATTTTTAGATTATTATTAGATAAGACCGAACTACGGGTTGCCTAACCTAATCCTCTTCATAAAAAAAATTAAACTTTAAATTAAGGTGAAATCCAATATTATCTTATTTTTTGTGCAGCCCTACTCGAGGCCAACAACACAAATGAGCCAAAGTCTAATACACACAAAGTAATGGAGAAAGAGAACAAGGTTGGAACTTCTTCTTCTTGGTAATAAAAGGCCAACTAAAACCTGAAAGATTATTTGATTGATGCAAACAAGATTGGAACTTGAAAGTCTCTTTTAAATGATACATAAAATATTATTGTAACCTCTATGCAAGAATGACATGAATCATTTGAACAAGGTTAAATTTCCTTTAAACAGAATATTTATCATTAGCATGACAGAAATATCTAATAATTTATTCATTCTTTAATTTTTGTTTTCATAAAAAACAAAAAGGGTTAATATTAATATATAATTTGAGCCCTGAATTATAAGTTCAAGAGCGATTTGAACCATAAACTTGTATTTAATATATTTTAAATCATAAATAATTAAACTTAAGGTAATTTCATTCGTACCATTTAATTAAACCAAATGTCTGTTAATTTTTAAAAAAATTAGGGCTTAATATGCATTTTTCCTTAAAGGAGGTAGGAGAGAGAAGGAGAGTTGAATTTGAGAAAAATTACACATCAGCTCATTTTTTAAAACTTAACGAAAGTTTGATTTAATTTAACAATGAGATAAAATTGTTTCAATTTTAATTGTTTTAGATTTAGAATGTATCAAATATGAATTTAGGGTTAAAATTGTTCATGAATCTATAGTTCAAGATTCAAATTATATATCAAATCGAATAAAAATATATTAAATTTCAAATCACCATATTAGATTTTCTCTATATTTCTCAAGACTCCTACCTGGCAATATGTAATTGAGTTGAACACGTTTAAGAAATTATGAGGGTAACTTTTGTGTTATCATCGTCTTTCTCAATGACAAATTTTTTTTTTTGGCCAAAAAGATAATCCATTAAGATCAAAAAATTATATTAGAACAAGTCATAGAGTCTAAAGAAAGCAAGTTAGAAAAAGGGAGAGAAGGAGAAAAATCCCACTCGAAAGATCACACTCCCTTGAAACATTCTTTAGCTAACCAATCACTAGCTAAATTAGCAGTCCTAGGGATCCAAGAAATAGACCAAGTATTATTATACAAAAGGGAGCCTTGAACTTCAACAAAAAGGACAACATAAGGCCATTTTGGGCCAGTGTGACCAAAACTGATTGCATCTACCAAGACTTTGCAATGTGATTCAAATGTAACTGTTTGGAAACCGTATTGTCCAACAAGTGATAGAGCTTTGGAAAGTGCAAAAACTTCACTCATGAATGTGAAGTCGCATGAACTCTTTCTCTAGATACAGCAAGAAGAATAGCATGATAATTTTTGAAAATGACCTTGAGAAGAGCATCCTCAACATGCTTGGAAGTTTCTAGAGGCTGAAGAGGGACTTTGTTGAAGTAATGAGAACACTTGTTTTTCTAAATATACCAGTAGGTCATAGCGAAAAAAGCTGAGTGCCAATCATTAGTAATAGGATTTGAACAAAAATCAAGAAACCATTTATCAAGGCGCAGCACATTGGAGCTATCAAATTTTAGGCCAAGTGTTGAGGCAAACCAAACCTTGTTAGACCACTCACAAAGAAAGGGTAAGTGTTCATAAGTTTCTAGGAGGCGCTTACAACATTGGCAAAGTGGATTAGATCTGCAATGACATCTCTAAAGGTTTTCATAGGAGGGCAAGGCAATATTGAGTTGTCGCTAGAAGTGCTTAACATGTCTAGGAATCCAAAGTTTTTAAAAAACTTTCCAAATGTGCTCATGCAGATGGAAAGAGGAACGTGCCTTTATTGAATGAGTAGGTTATTGAAGGGAGTCATAACCATTCTTCACTATAAATAAGCTATTTTTCCTTCCAAGCCAGTGAGGTCTGTCAAAAGGGTGATGAGCACAAAGTGGAATACTCCTAAGAGCTTCTTTTTTAGAGTAAGCAATGTGCTCTTCCAAAATAAAGAGAACTTGGGCACCATTAGTAATTAGTAGTTTGACTCGAAGATCTTTTGCTACCTCAACAAAGGGCTTAGATGCAAGTTTAAAAGCAAGTAATGTGGGAATTCAAGGGTCCTCCCAACTATGAATGTCAACCCTATCACCAGCACACCAACAAAATTTGTCAAGTAAGAGCTCTCCACTTGCCATTAGGCTATTCCATACCCATGATGGCTTGGCACCCCTCTAAGCAATGAGAAAAGATGTTTTAGGATAATAGACACCTTTGATACTTATCATTATCGTTTTTCTATGTTCACATAGAATTTTCGGTGGCTGACTTCAAACTTGGCTAATTCATTCTTGTGGATGATTTTATCTTTCTAATTTGTTTATATCCAGCTAAAATTTAATTATTTTTTAAAATTTAAGAATCACATTAATTATTATTAAATGATTTTTTTACTTGAATAACTATGATTTCATAATTCAACCAACAAAAAATAGACTTCATATTTGGCCAAAAAATAGACTTCATAATAACATTTAAATTAAATGTCGTAAAATTATCCGGAAAAATTGTCCACAAATATTTAAAAAATTGTTCAAACATTATTCACTATATATTTAACTTTTTTCTTTTAAATTTTATAAAAGTCCGTTTTGCACGTGTCAAGATAAAAAAGTAATATTATTTTCATATGTTTCAATGTAACAAAATTTACTTTTATATGTTAATATCAAATTTAATGTCAAACTTAACAAAAGAATTACTCCAATAATAATATTCTACTTCCTCCATCTCAAATTATAAGATACCTTTAAATAAAATATCACATACTAATAAACTTTATTAAATATACTTAATAATTTTATCTTTTCAAAATAAAATATAAACTTTTAAAAATACTCATCATTTAATATATTAGAAAAAGAAAGAACAGAAATTTATTATAGAGAAAGAAATGGTAATATTGAAATTGGTGTATTTAATGAAATATTAATTTATATAAAGTGTCTTATATTTTGAGACAGAAAAATTCTTTTAAAAGTGCCCTATAAATTGGGACAGAGATAGTATTATTATGAAAAAATGACAATAAAATATCTCTAAAATATATAAATAGTAATTTAATTTCTTGAAATGCAATAATTCCCTTGGACTTTTTAAGGACTTTTTTGTCATTAATAAATTTATATAAATTATCAAATTTATTTTGTTAAAAATACATGATTCACAAGTTTTATTTAAAGTTCGCATGTTAATTCCTTATTTGCTATTGCATTATTGCGAATATAAGAAGAAAAGTTGTGAATATTTAAACAAAACTTGTGAATTATTTATTTTTAATAAAAAAATTTGATAATTGATATAAATTCATTAATGACAGAAAAGTCCCAAGATACATCAGAGAAATTATGGTATTTTAAGGGATCAGATTATCATTTATACATTTTAGAGGGATTTTATTATTATTTTCCATATTATTTACTCAAGCAATTAGAATATCATCCCACCATTTTTAAAATAAATAAGTTGAATTAATTAATAATCCATGAAGTCATTGGTGTTAAAAAAATTCATTTAATAACATATTAACATTTCAAAACATGTATACACACAAAATTTTATTTCTACGTTTATCATGAAATCAGATCTGTCATACAAAAAATCACTACATCCCCAATATGTTAGTTAATGACATTAAATTAATATTCTTTTTATGTTTATCCTTATTTATTTGAGTGTCTTAATTACAAAATTACACTTGTGATTAAGGGTTTTTTTTTTTAAATCTTATCACTTACGACTTAAAAGAAACCATATATTTTGTAACATAATATTAAAAAATGTCTTATAATTCTGGATAACGAGTATATATAACTTTTCATCAAATTACATGTTTATTCTAAAAAAGTTTAAATTCAAATGTTGGGGTACCTGTTAGTTTTTGTTTTTTTGTTTTTTAAATACAATACAAGAGTGAGTTGGTTCAAGGGAGGTTAAAACATGGCGCGACGCGTTAAAAGTTTTGTTTGCGAGAATGATACTTAAGTTTAAAATTTTAATTAATAACGTTTAAATTTTGATAAATTATTTTAAAATTTAAGGTGCAAATATTGATTTAATCATATTTACAAAGTCAAATTTAAAATTTAAATAGCTGATTCACGTTGGCAAATTAAAAAAAAAACCTGATTTACAATAAAAAATTAATTTAAATTTATAATTGTTTTGTTTGAATTTTTCAAGAAAATTCATCGAACTTTTCAGTCTTTCCTGATCTACTCCTTCAATCTCTATGCATAAAATGTATTTTATTTTTAAATTCAAGTGGTATCCTAATAATTTTAAATAATTAGTTAATTTTACTTTTATCATAAAAAGAAATATTAATTATATATTTTTTTTACTATCATAATATTAATTATAACATTTATTAAAAGCATCTTAACTATGATTTTATAAATTTTTAATTGAATAATAAATTTTTATAATATGCAGAATTTAATTAAAAACATGAGTAATTATCTTCCCCGTTTTGTCTGTCGCTTTCAAAAAGCCGACCAAAAACGGTAGTGTGGCATTGGCTTCATTGCGTCAGTGGAATTATCTGCTTCAACTGCCTCCAAAAGCCGTTGTGCTTCAGTTTCCAATTCCACTTCCCCTCCGCTTCGCCTTGTTCCCAATTCAATTCTACATATTTTGATTTTTCGGAACCCTAAAGAGCCTTTATTATTAACTCAACTGGCCTTCTTCTCTAGTTTTTCCCTTGAGTTTTTCCGTTCTCGGTGTTCCCCATATGATCCGTTAGCCAAATTGGTCTCTACTGGTGTTCTTTATCGTTTTGCTCTCTTTGGTTTTTTTTTTAACCCAATTTATCGGTGTTTTGTTTCTTCATCGCGCTCAATGATGGAGTCCCCATCCTTTTCATCCTCCTCCACCTCCGATTCCGGTACCACCGCCACCGGTGATCAGGTATGCCAGTCACACTCTTAAAGTATTCTCCAATTTTCTTTCATTATTTTCACTGATTTGATTTTTTCGGGCATCGGAGTTTCTCTCTCCTGTGACAACATGTTTAATTTGATTTTCTTTCATCATTTTTCTCTCTCTCTCTCTCTTTTTTATCGCTTCACCCTGTTTAATTTGATTATCCCTGATCACGCTTAAATAGCGAAAGTATCCCTCTTAATCATTTCACTAATTTTGTGCATTTGCGTACCCCAATTTTCTCTTACGGGAAAAGTTTTCTTTACTTTCTATATTTTTTCTATCTGGCACCCCAGTGGCCCGGTTATTGTCAGTGGCAAAATGCAGCCACTCCGCCCCGGGGGGGGGGGGGGGGGGACTGTAACTAATTTGTCTATCTGACCTCTTCAAGTTCTGTTGAAGAGTGGCAATCTGAAATTTTTGAAAACCATAACTTTTATTTTGATAGAATGCGGAGCGAAGTCGGAGAAGTGGCGACGCCCATGGAGCTGTGACTTTTGAGCAATCGCGTCGGTGGCATGATGTTTTCTGGTCGGGAATATTTATCATTCATTTGATTTTTCTGGCACTCATTCTGGGGGTTCTCGGTCTCAATAGGTTCAAGAAAAGGGATAGGCTAAATATTGATGTGTACACCGTACCGCTTTTCAAGCGTGAGCATGGGTTGACCGAGGATTACTGGCCGCTTTATGCTGTTGCTGGAGGAGTTGGGACTGTTCTCGGATTGAGTTGGCTGCTGCTGCTGGGTTCTTGTGCAAATCAAATGATGAAGGTTTCTGTTCACATACTGACCACTTATCTTGCTGTGATCAGTGTTTTGTGTTTCTGGGCTGAACAGTTTTTTTGGGGAGTTATTTTTGCCACCGGAGCAGCTTTGCAGTTCTTGTACGTGATATCGGTCATTGACAGGTATTGGCTTGATATTGAATTTATTGAAAAGTTCCCCTCCTCCTCCTCCTCCTTATTATTATTATTATAAATTACAAAAAAAAAAAATCACTCTTCTCATAGCAGTAGCAAAGGGGTTTGGAGATGTAAGTTATTATTACTGAATTTGCTGGTCTGGTAAAAATTCATTAATTTATGTGGCAATGCAGTGGAAATTTCCTTTAGTGCCTTGAAATTACAGTCAATTAGTCAAGGTTATTGAGTGTATATTGTGCATCGAGGTTAATGCGTAAATGAATGTTTTAAGGAAAATCTACATAGGAAAAGTTACCTTACTTTTTTTTTTTGGGTGAGAAGTTACCTTACTTTTATTTTCATTTAAATCGAATGTCTTTGCTACCAATTTCTTTTTTAATAGTTGCTTGCATGAAAACTCACCTTTTTCTAAGGAACTACCAGTTGGTTATTTAAGATTTAGAGAAATTTTACCCATTAATTTATTTATTTTACTTGCATGAGAGAATGAGAGGATTTTTTATGTTAGGGATGAGATTGTGCAAATTTGATTATTGATACTTGATAATTGGATGAAGTTTGGAAATTATTTTGCTGGCAAGGAAAGGTCTTTCATCCATTGGTGGTGTTTCTTTAGTTTTACTCTTACCCAAATCCTCACACCGTCGGAGGGCTAATTTAGAAAACCTAAGGAGGGTGGTCATATAAAGAGTTTGACCTGGAAATGCCACATTTATTTCATTAGGTGCAGGCGTGGATGTATGTAATATAATTTTTTTTTTTTTGGGGGGAGGGGGGAGAACCTCTCGTCTACAGCTACGTGTGTATTGTTTACTCCCATGTGTTAACAGGCTAATACTGATAGTTTCTTGCTGGCCTAAAAAGGAAAAAAAAAAGAAAACTGATAGTTTCTATTCTAAGATTGACAGCTGACTGCTGTCATCTACTTGTAGCTGTTTTTGTTTGTTCTATTGCAGGTCATCTTTCTCCCCCACCCCTCCTGCCTTTCGTTTTCTGTAAAAATCGTTGTCTGTATGGTGATTTCTGGTTGCACTTCTTTCCCCCTTCTAGACTTCCGTTTACCATGCTGGTTCTGCAAAAAGCTATGAAGATGGTTTGCATTCTTCCTGAGGTTATGAGAGTGGCATATGCATTTATGCTTGTGGTGCTTTTATGGATGGCCTTATGGTCTTTTGGTGCATCAGGCGTTGTGGCTTCAAGCTTGATTGATGTTGGATGCTGGTGGGTTCTTTTGGTGAGCGGGCAAGTTGTGCTCTTAATTCTATCTGTGCCTGTTGGGAGTTGGGGGTGATAATGATGGTGGCTTATGTAAACTGCTTTGTCTGATTACACTGATGTTGCTACATATGTATGCAGATTTTCTCTGTAAGTCTATTCTGGACAGGTGCTGTACTCTGTAATACTGTACATGTAATAGTGTCTGGGATGGTGTTTCTCAATCTTATCCATGGTGGTAGAGATACAACTTCAGTACCTGCTAACTCCTTAATAAGATCTTTACAATACGCCTTGACGAAATCTTTTGGCAGCATTTGTTATGGCTCATTATTTACTGCTGCTATTAGGACACTTAGGTGGGAGGTACTCACTACCTTTTTTCATTTTTGTTAATAACTTGCAGAGTGAGTGTGTGTGTGTGTGTTAAATTCATCTGCTTTTCCTCTAGTTTCACCAAAATTTCTATATATCTCTTAGATAAGGGGTTTCCGGTCGAAGATTGGCAACAATGAGTGTTTGCTTTGCTGTGTTGATTTCCTTTTCCATCTTGTGGAGACTCTTGTCCGATTCTTTAACAAGTATGCCTATGTTCAGGTAGACTACTACTTTTATGTCAGTATCACTTTGTATAATATTGAAACGTTCTCTTTATCTGATACTCCATCAGTTTTTATTTATTAGAGAAACTGTTACTTTTTATTTGTTTTTTATAAGTAAGATTACATATTTCAATAAGCATTTATTACATATTTCCTAAATTACCCCTCATAATTTACATTAATGAAAAATAATTAATGTGTACTTATGTTGATTAACACAAGGTGTTGTAATCCAATTTCTTTATTTTTAAACATAATTATTTGTTAACCGATTTTTTTAAATTGTATAATACAATTTTTTCTCTTATATATATAGAAATGGAGAAGTGTATGACATTACATGTTTTTTTTTTTTTTTATACTGCCTCTGGTCCTATTTCTAAGACACCTTCTAGAAGTAATTTTTAGTTTAAAATATAGGACACTTTGTAATAATTAAACCACTTTTTTCAATTTTATTCTTTCTTGATTAGTGTGAAGGTATTTAGTGTAGTACTATTATTTAAAGTCAAGAGTAAAAATGATAGTACATATCACTTTTTTATGATTATAATGAAAAAATTAATTTTTCTTAAGATGCGTGAAGTAGTTGAAAATGTCTTTATAATAAGGACCAGAGACAAGGTTCATTTTGACCTTTCAGCTATTGTTACCTTGAAATAAGGATCATATTGTCTTTCTCACTGATTCAGCATACCTTAAAATTTGGATCCTTCTTACAATTTATATTTAAGATGCAATGTATGGAATGAAGTTGGCTGTACATCATAAAGAATGTTTACCTCAAACGTTAATACAACTGGTTCACCACGGTCAAGTTGTTTAGTTTAGGGTGGTTGAACATTTAAAATGAAACCCTTACAAACATCAATATCTAGATAAAAGCAGAAAACTGAGGATTATAATTTTGATTGATGTTACCAGAGGAAATTTGAGAATGATGTAATATGTTCTGCCCCAGAGCATTTTCTCCTGAGAACATTGGTATATGGCATTTATGAGTGGCAAAATAAGAGGGATCAAGACGCAGCATATTACAAAAGGCACATTATTTTATAGGCTTAATCTACTCATAGACTCACGAGTCATGACTTCGTTTTTGTTATACATGAACCTGCAGTATATTAAAGTTGAAACTCCCATTTTTAGACTCTTGTTTATTTGTAAGAGTCCAAGGATGATGTGTTAAGGCTGAGCCCATACAAGAGAAGTCCTGTACAAAGGTGTGACTGGGAGTTTATAAATATATTTTCCTGTTAGAAGCGATTATTAACATTTATGATCACGTCCTCTGCAGATAGCTGTTAATGGTAAAAGCTTTAACCGTTCAGCTAGAGATGCCTGGGAATTACTCCAGTCAACTGGTGTTGAAGCACTCGTAGCTTATGATTGTTCAGGTGCTGTCCTGCTAATGGGCGCTATCTGTGGTGGTTTGATAACCGGAACATGCTCTGGTGTTTGGGCGTGGTACAGATTTGGTGATAGAGATAGAGTATTTATGATTGGAACCACATCTATGTTGATGGGGATGGTCTTGGTAAGTCATCAGTTTTCTGAACTTTCTGTTCATGTGGCTTGGCGTTGCGGAATTGTTTGAGGGACACAGCATTGTTATGAATAAAGGTGGTGGCTAGTTTTTTAATGGAAAAGAAACTATCATTCACTAACAACAAAAGGAAACAAGGGTACAAAGCATAACCTAACTTACTTTCATCATTCACCACCTCTCTAGAAGGTAAATGATCAAGGATACAGAAGTCATCTAAAGGTTCATGTGAGAGTTTAGCTAAAGAATTAGCAGTACAATTAGCTTCCCTGTGCACATAATTTACAAAAACAATCCATTCTTTTCTCAAAAGGAACGCAGCTTCGTCCATGATAGGGGTGGTCTGTGGTTGGGTACCTTGTGATTAGATTCTTTAATTGAATTGAGCAGTCATACTTCAATTGAGTTGAGCATAGATTCTTTAATCAATTTGTTCTATAATAGTTAGAGAGACTAAATCAATGCCAAAGAGGTAAGTAAACATGTCAATTACACTTGCGAATATGCTTGACTTTTGATCCGTTCTTTCATGGTTGACAAGAAAACACTGCATTATGGGTATGATAAGGAGAGTAAAACCAAGTGATTGTCTCGACATTTAAGCATGTCAGCCTTAGTACTTCTTGATTGACTAGACATCTAGGTATATCAGTCATAACACCAAGTCATTGAATTTGACTTGAGCATTGGCATTGTGGAGATCATTGCTAGTCTTATTTTATTGGGAAAACATAATCATTGATTCCTATATTTTTATCAGATCTTGCTTTTAGTTATTTTAGTTTTTTTTCAATCCTTATATAGGAATTGAAAACCACTAAAAACACTGAAATTATAAGAACTTAGGTGACAAATGTCACTCAATTTTGCTGAAACTCGAAGGACTGAAAATATTAGGAAAAACTAAAAGGACTAAAAATAAAATCTAGTTAAATTATAAGGACTAATGATTGTGTTTTCTCTATTTTATTTTATATTTTTATAATTTTGAGGTTGAGCTTATGAGTTGGAATGTGCAATTGTCAGGTTGGAGTGGCAATGGTTGTGGTGGAAAGTGCTGTGACTTCCATATACATATGCTATGCGGAGGACCCCTTATTGATTCGTAGATGGGACACACAGTTTTTCAACCAGATGTCTGAGACATTACACCAGAGACTTCAATACAGGAGTGCTCGAGCAAGGGAAGTTCTAACCCAATCTCAACTTGATTACCGTGTTCGACAAAACGCATCTTTTGATTAATTTGTATTCCTACTGCACAGTTTATATACTATATACCCCTTCGATCTTTCTTGTGGGAGAAGCCAACAGTTGCCTCAGATTTGGTCTTATACAAAGAAAAAAGAAAAAAAAGAGGGTTTCAGCCTTGGCCCTTGGTATGTATGAATATCTATACTAAAAATTTGTAGTTTATCTTTAAATATAAGAACAGAAATAGTTTACCTATTGAGATGAGCAGTAGTTGAACTCCATTTGAACATCCTAACAAAAACTAGTAAAGTCATGTCATCTAATTGACATGGTGGAAGAAGCAGAGAAAAGGACGGCATCATGAGTGAACTGTAAAATTGTTAGCAACATGAATTGTAAAATACAATTGAACACATTCCACGACTGTTTGTATTTAGTGCCGACCCAACACTTCTAATTAAATTTGCCTTGCAATTGGAATCATGGTGGCAAAAACCCCGATGGGAGCATTGACATGAATATAATTAATAAAAAAAGGATTTTCATACAAAATAGTTAAACACGGTCGGTCAAAAAATAAAAAAAGTACTTCAAGCGCCATAACTTGAGTAGCATTGCTTGAGATTTTTTTAATTGGTAAATGTGCAGGGAAATTTATTTACTATTAAAAAGCCATGACACTCTACAATTTGATTATTTCAAGGGATTCTATATATTTTAGAATACAAATCTTTTACCATCCGTGTGATACAAATCTTTATATATATGTTTATATATATATAGTATGTATTGTAATTTTCTATTAATATATTTCTTGAAAAAAATTATTCGTTTAATTTTACTTTTCTTAAATTAAGACGCAGGATAGGGCTAAAGAGAGCAGCACAAATACATGGAGAAATGCATGATTATAATGCTTTATTAAAATAAAGGGTACTTTGAGAATTTAAAATTTTTGTAAAGTTAATTTAGTCTTATAAAAGTTTTCTTTAAAAAGCCCAAATTAAACGTTGGGTAACGTACATAATTAGTGCTCCACCCAGCAATTTATTGATTCGTTGATTTATTATGAAGTTACCTCATGCCTCGTGGATTGAAAACAGTTCAGCCATGAGTCGAAGCGCTTGCATCGCAAGCATGTGCTTATGTATCTCCAGCACTTTACACGAAGGCACATCACGCTATTGAAGTGGTCCTAATCCATTTTCAACTAATAACCATTTCTTAAAACAAAGAATCTGCCTCCTCCCAATGCTCAAATAGCAAATGTTCTGAAACAATTAATTGAATAACCATACCACTCCTTTCCTTTTTCTTTTTCAAACGTAACTACTCCTTTTGGCCAGCTTTCCAAGTACATCGAATGCGATGGTTTTGGAACTTTGCTTTGTGATGTGAGGACCTGTGCTGGGAATCTAATAAAATCCCATGTCAGCAAGCAATAATGAAAACCAAAGGTTCTTCCTGGTTTTATCATACCCCGAAAACAGCCACACTGATAAGTGATACCCTATCCTCTCCTATATTAAGACTCATCAAGCTAAGATCGTCTTCACCTCCCAACCTTCCTTCTCTTTTCCTGCTTCCTCTATCCCAACACACAACGCCACCTCCTTCTCATGTATCAGAAGGGAATCATGGCTGCCGGTGCCGCTACTGAGAATTGGGGTGATTCCAGCATGGTAGATAAACTTTTTCTTTTTTTTCTTCTTCAAGTCAATTGGCACGTCATTTGCAATCTTACCCCTTTGTATGTTCTCGATTGTCATGTTATAAACGATACGTCTTGTGCATGCATGACAAGGACTGGTTCTGCTATACTGTTTTACCATCTAAAATTACGTAATGTTCTTAGGGTCCGTTTGGATTTCAGTTGGGTATAATAGATTATGAAAATAATTGATTAAGTGATAGATTTTAATCATAATTGATTATGTTATAACGCAATGTGTTTGGATACTTTTTTTTTAAATTGATTTTAACAGAATTAAAAATATTTAAATAATTTAATCAGAATCAATTTTAATTATATAAATTACTATATAATTTAATTCTTAAATATCAAATATTAATTTTTTGAGAATAAAAAATTTAAATTTTATTAAGGAAAAAAAGGAGAGAAGGGAAGAGAGTTTAATTTTATTTTTATTAAATTATGTGCTTTATTTGTAATTTTTTTGTGGGTTTTCTTTTGTAATTTTCTCCAACATTTTTTGATTAACTTCTGGTAAAAGCTCATTCCATCAGCTTCTGAAAAAACGCGCGTAATACGTCAGAATCGATTTTTGTTCTTTTTCAGCCGTTTGGGTAATTTCATTTTAAAAATCAATTTCAGGCACAAAAATCGATTTTGAAGACTAACCAAACGGGCACTTAACCGTTTCGTTGCTGCCTTTTTTTTTTTTTTTTCCTTTCTTTCTTTCAATTAGCTTGCTTTTATATGAGGGTAGACCTATTCTGCTGTGCTAGTCAGATCATCGCTTGATTTGTGAACTAGTATTCCGGATGCTTATAGCAGGGTCTGTTAAGTCCTGGGATAATGAGTGAAACATATTTGCAGGCTCTGGTTTTGGATAGGCATATATACCACTTAACAACGTTTTGAGTGAAAGTAATTTTAATAGCAATCTGCTTAATCTTACTTGGATTCCTGATATTCCTAATGCAGAGTACATGTATGGCAACTGGACATCAAGTTCATTCTGTGGTTGGAAATGGTACGTTACCTGGTCTTAATAATCAATCATTTTTCTGTCCAACTAAATTAGGATTACCTCTCTTTAATCATCTGAACAATTGCATTCACATAATAGGACCTAACAAAACAGTTCTGAGAGGAGGGTAAATTTATTTTGTCATTGGTTGATACACTCAAGCATAAAATGTTACACTATGGGAAATGTGTTTCTATTCTAAACTGCATCTTTTACTTAAATAGAAAGTAAGTGTTTATCAATGCTAATGGGGTTGTGTTGTGTTTTAATGTTGTGTTTTAACTGTTACGCAATACTCCCTCCGGTCCTATTATTATAAGAGGTTTCCTGAATTTTCACACATATTAAGAAAATGTTGTTACATTCTCAAAAGTCAAAAAGAAAAACCATTCCAAGATTTCAGTTTTACCCATATTAAAAAGTAATTACATCCACTTCTTTTCACAATAATTCCCGAGAAGATTCATTCATAGGAGTAGGGATTAAAATGTCCAACTATCAAAAAAAGCTTCTAGAATACTTCTTATAATAAAGACAAGAGGGAGTATACTAAATGGCATTGTTAAAAAGAAGGGTTTATTGGACCTTCAGGTGCCTTGACATTTGACATGGACTATGAGCGCTGGGTCAATGAGCATCAGCAACTGATAAATGACCTGAGACAAGCTTTTAATTCCCAAAAGGGGGATGATGATCTGCATATTGTTGTTGAGGGTGTGACAGCACATTATGATGAATTATTGAGGTTAAAGATCATCGGGGCAAAAGCTGATGTGTTTCACATGTTCAATGGTATGTGGAAGACGCCCGCAGAAAGATGTTTTATGTGGTTAGGTGGGTTTCGATCGTCTGAACTTTTGAAGGTAAATGGTCGTGTTCGCTTTAGTTTCTTAATTAATCAGTATTTCCATAATGTAGAAATATGTTGTTATATTTGATTGTTTTTTGGGATATACTTTGTTGATTCCAGATATTGAGGAACCAGCTTGAGCCATTACCAGAGCAGCAATTGATGGGCTTGTATAATTTGCAGCATTCTTCATTGCAGGCTGAGGATGCTTTATCACAAGGCATGGAAGCATTGCATCAATCTCTTTCTAGGATACTTTCTGACTCTTCAACCTCACTCGGATCCACTAGTTCTGGAAATTCTGCCCAATTCAATATGGGTCAAATAATGGATCTTGCTATGACCAAGCTTCACTCTTTAGAGGATTTTCTTCTTGCGGTAAGGAATTGATGCAATATGCTATATAGTTTCATTATTTTCTTGCTTGATATATGGGAGCAAACCATTTACGACCTTCCATTCTTTCTAACTATTTTCAATTTCTTGCTTAATTATTATCTTCAAGAGCGCTACTAATGATTAAAAGTTCTGATCAGTATACTTTTTGTCGTCAGGCTGATATTTTAAGGCAGCAAACTGTGCGACAGCTGCAAAGAATCTTGAGCACGCGACAAGCAGCTCGAGCCCTCCTTGTCATCAATGATTTCGTTTCCCAACTACGAAATGTAAAATGCTTCAGGCCTACAGTAATATTCTCAATTATATTAGCCTGACAAAAATAACTCTTGGGTTAATGGCGGCATGAAACAACCCAACCAATAAAAGGAACATTTTCATGCAAAATAGAAAATACATTAATAAATACCAACATGTCTTGGAACACATGCAATAAGAGTTTTGTAGAATCGGTAAATTCAAAAGCAATACAACTGTCTCTGAGCCCATCTGGTTTAACACTTATAACTCTTGAAGTTCGTTTGAAACCTAGAAACATGAGTTTGAAAGAAAGGAGGGAGAAGGAGAAGATATATTGATGGGTTTTACAAAATCATGTTTCACCTCTAAACACCTCTTACACAGCTAATTAATTGGCAATTCAATTTTCATTAATATTGAAATGTTATTATCATGGATGTGTGTTGTTTTTTTTTTCAGAATCTTCGTAGGCTGGCTCAGAATCATCAAGAGGCTACGAGGAAGGGTCGGTCTGGGAAAAAGGTACAACATTCTCTCGAGGGCATTGATTTCTTATGATATGTAGAAAAGGGTTGATTACAATCTTCAAGTCAATGGGCACGTTAATAGCATCCTGCTCACTCTTCATGGATTTATTATATGCTATATATTCCTAATATTGCAGGGTATACTTGTTACAATTGAATATCCTAATAAGGATCATTCTCATTCAGTGGTTGAAAATGGTACGTTACAAGTTACTGTCATTTATCATTTTAATATCTTGAACCATCTTGTCATACTAATTAAACTGATGCAATAACCCCTGGATGGCTAGACATGCTCTTGATCTGCTGCATTTCTTAGATTTTTAACCAAAGTAGCCAACCTATGGATATAGATATACATTTTTAATGTTAGGATGCCAAGTGTAAGTAAATTTGAATCGGTGTGTGAGTTGTCTCATGTTAGATAAAGTTAAGCTTAATAAGATATATATATAATAAAATGAAAATACCCATGAACTCAAGTCTTAAAATCTCGAGTTAAGATGTGATGTCCTTCATTATTCTTCACCCATTCTGTTCTCTTCCCCAACTTATTCCGAGCTTCACTCCTTGTTCCCAACACTTAATCAAGTGATGAGCTATCATATTCACAAAATAATTTTAAAGACTTCAATCATTAATGGGCTTTTCATTTTAAGGAAAAAAATGATGGAGGGTAATTTTGAAAAATAAATTAGGAAAAAAATTAAACCTTTGAGCAATTTTAATTGATTTTTTTAATTTGTATAAAGTAATAACAAGTCTTGATAATAAGAAACGGATGGAGCAGAAAGAAGGAGGTAGAAGACATTAGTATAGAGTAGAATAGAAGGTTTTATAATAGAGTTGTTTTGTGTTAAGCAGACACCATAAAGTTTGCTCATCATGCAAAGTGTTAAATTCAGGTGCCTCCGCATTCGACATGGACTATGAGCGTTGGGTAGAAGAGCACCAACATGTGATCAACAACCTAAGAAAAGCTTTCAATTCTCAAATGGGAGAAGATAATAAGGATGAACTACACATCGCTATCGTGGGCGTTACATCACATTACGAAGAATTATCAAGGTTAAAGAGCATGGGGACAAAGGCTGACGTATTTCACATGCTCTCTGGTACGTGGAAGACGCCTGTTGAAAGATGTTTTATGTGGTTGGGTGGATTCCGATCATCTGAACTCGTCAAGGCACGTAATAATTAAATGGTCTTTTAATTATATTCTAACCTTGCTGGGCAATAAGAGAAAGCAACCTTGTTGAGTATTGCAGATAATAATGAAAGAGCAGCTAGAGGCATTAACAGAGGAGGAATTGGGGGGGATGTATAATCTGCAGCAGGCTTCGTGGCAACTTGAGGATGCTTTATCACAAGCCATGCAGGTATTACAACAATCTCTTGTAGAGACACTTTGCTCCAACTCGTTCGGCCTCGAACACTCCGGTTCTGAATACAGTACGAGTCAAATGGCACTTGCAATGAGCAAGCTTGCCTCATTGGAGAGTATAGTTCTCCAGGTAAACAAGAGATAGTCTCTTGAATCACATGTATTTTTCAATTCAATTATTTTTTGAGAAGTAACCAATATTTTAAATTATTTGCATTATAATAATTCTGCCCCTTAAATAATTAAAATGCCACTTACGATGATAGGTGGCATTTTAGTCTAACTTAACTCCTAATTAGTATTATTAACAATTAATGTTGGTATATTTAATGTTAGAGGTAAATATGCTATGTTTTAATTATTTTAGAGGGCAAATTGTTAGACAAATAGTTTATGACACTAGGTACTCCTTGCAAAATAATGTCATGTGTATTTCATTAATTTGACATGGCAAACTCTATTAATGACATAACAAAGTTAATTAATTGTAAGGTTATATGCAATTGTCTCAAAGTTCAAGAGATTTATCCATTTTAGCCATATTTAAAAATTCAATGTAAGAATTTTTTATTAACAAAACTAATGGTATTAAGATTAAAAGACTAAAAAAATACTTTATAAAATTAATGAACTAAATTAAAATCTTATATAAAATTAAAGAATTAAATATACGCTTTAAAATATATAATCGCATGTTCGAATATTAATTTAATCATATAATTTTATAAAAATATTTAAATTTAATTTTTAAAAAACTGTAATTCAATTTAAAAAATATTTGAAAAATTATTTGAAAATGTATTTAAAAAAAAAACAAGTTGGCCAATAAACTCACTTATAACGTGGTAGGTTAGGCTGGGGTTTTCCCAACCCATCAAGAGGCAAGCCTACCTTTGTAACTAGTGATGAGCCAACTCATAACTTGCGAGTTGGCTCGTATTACAAGGTCTACGTAAGTTTTGAGTCTTGTTAAGATATGATCTCCTTCCCTGTCATCCGCTTACAGAGCTGATCAGAGAGATAAAGGGCTTTAATTGATAGAGATTGGGTTGTTAGTTTAAACCATGTGCCTCGAGAAATCAATGGATGTGCAGACGTTATTGCAAAAGAAGCTCACGGTCAAGGGACTGCCATTCATGTTCTTCGGTCGTGCCTCATTTTTTGTGCTGATTTACTGCTTTCAGATACATGTGATCGTATTTAGACTCTTTTAACCTCCCCAAGCTTTGGCTTGCCCTTGTTTTCTCCCCCAAAAAAAAAAAAAAAGATATGATCTCTTTCTTACTTTATTCTCTCCTTCATAGGATGTCAGTTACCTTCTATATATTTTCGATTTCTTGCTCATCATCAAACATAGTCAAGTTCAAACCTCCACACACACATATATATATATCCTTTGCATTATTACTGAATATACATTTTCTTCCTAGGCTGAATTGTTGAGGCAACAAACTCTGAAAGAGTTGCAAAGAATCTTGAGGACACGACAAGCAGCACGTGCATTCCTTGTGATCAATGACTACATCTCTCGACTACGAAATGTTAAAACTGCAAGCTCTCCAGTAATGATTGAGAGTAAACTCTAAACATATATATTAATTATTTGGAGCTCTTATCGTTTGGTATGTTGAAAGGAATGGAATTGGGCTTTTATGTTGAGTGTGTCAGATCTTAAATATATTTTTGTTTGGTATATGTATTTTAATTAATAATGCCATCATCCTCGAAGGTCGAGGGCATGCCATCGAACTTGCACCAGAAACTAGCTACTTCAATGAATCTGCACCAAGAAGATGACCAACTGATGAAGAAGAATCAAATTAAAGCAGTGAAGCTTCATGGAGGAAGATCCAAGTTGCTGATGAAGAATAAAGCAAATGGTCATTTGAAGTCACCGTCAAAAGGGTTGGGTGAGAAAAGGAGATGTGTTGTGTTTGAAATCTCGTTTTAGATGGGATAATAATAATTTACTCTGAAAATTTGGATTGGTTTCTAAACGAAACATTCTTATGTAATATTTGAATTGTGGGAAAATATCTTTTTAAAAAAAAAGAAAGAGAGAGAAATGGACCAATCACATTTTCTTTCTAAGGGCTTTTTTTTAATTTCATTTTTAGAAAACGCTTTTCATATAAGCATTGCCTTAACTCTTCATTTATTTTCCCTTTCTATCAAAAAATTAAAATTCCACTATACCAAATAGCCCGTAACATACAACTAATTCTAAATTATATATAAAATGTTTTTTTTTGATCATATCTAAATTATAAAATATAATGTTGTAATGCGTGCCACTTAATTGCATTATCAATTATATTCCGGAGGAGTGCCCTCCTCTTAACTTTCCTACCATTGGGTCTCAATTTCAGTGGTTGAGACCAAATAAATTATAAAATTATTATTATAATATTAAATAACAAATTTCATAAGAATAACATTAAATAATATATTATAAAATTTAATAGATTAAATTTATTTACTTATTTTGTTACTTTATGTTGTAATAATAATTTTATCATATATTAAATCTTAACTATTGAAGTTAAGATTCAACGATGAGAAAACCAGGAGGAGGGATTGGTAAGAGAATAGAAGCCAATTGTTTGTTAGAATCTTTAGAGGAGGGTTAAAATTTCTTTCATATAGAATCTCTCTTTCTCATGTCAGGATACTTTTTTTTTTTTTTAATTTACTCAAATTCATCCACTACCTGGATACTCTAAATGACCAATCAAGTGACCTATTTATAACATGAGAGTGCTTGCTCTCAAAGCTACCATTGCTTGCCTAGATTGATTACGCATTAGCAGTAAGTACACTTCAGTAAAACGATGCGTTGCCTCTTCTCTCTCTAAGAGCCTGCATGAACCCACATTCCCTGTTAAAACTGAGCATTATTCGGAGCACCAAATAGAATCAAGTTAGGCAGAACAGTTACAGATTCAAAATGGCATATAACTACTCTCAGACTCAAAAGCAGAGCGGGGACGGTCAAAAATTAATTGGCACACAACCAACCTTCCAAAGATTTCAAACAACACACCTACTCTCTACGAGTGAAATCCTTATGCTACGTATCGTGACCTTGTGACTCAAGTCCGTTTGGTTTAATTCCTCACTTTTTTTAAAAAGATGCAATACGATGTAATAGAATACAATGCAATCTTGATATTATTATTACTATTATTATTATTATTATTACAAGTCCAACGGTAAAACCGTGCTTAGAAATCCAAGACCAGGTAATGTCAGTAGTTATAAGGCTTATACAATTAGTAGGCGGATTATCAAACAAACTAATATCAAAGTTCTTAGTTGATGCCTTGTGAGCCATTAAGTCAGCACATTTATTGGTTTCTCTGTAGATATGAAAAGATTTTGACACTTTTGATAATACCTGAAAAGGGGGAGTTTTAAGGAGAGCTGCAATCAATGAGTGGTAAGGCCTCTATAGAATTAAAATAGATATTGACTTTAGGAATCTTAGCATTCTAGCAAAAGTTAAGACCTTTTAAAATTTCAATTAATTTCATTGCTGTGCTAGGTTGGTAATTGAAATTTTTGAAAAATCCTTCAATCCAGTTGCCCTTATCGTCTCTGATTAAGCGACCACAAGCAACAATTCCATTGATGTTGATAGAACCATCCACGTTTAGTCTAACCCAACCCAGCTTTGGTGGTTTCCAATTTGCTGTATTGCAAGCTTTATAATTGCTCAAAAGATCTAATTTAGATTGAAGCTTCATGTCATTGATGATTTGTTGAGTGCAAGAGAAGGCAATGTCACTGTCCAAGCTATTATCTTCAGAATAGACTTTCTTGCATCTGGCTTTCCATAAGTACTAATAGGCTTGTGCAAAGAGTTTCTGCCAGGGTAATCTTCTTGTAGACATGCTGCCAGCTTCATTTTTCGCTTTACAAATTATCCAATTCTGCACTGAAAGAGAGAAGAAAGTATTAAACTTGGTAGGGTTGACTAATTTTTCCCAAACCTCTTTAGCTACCTTACAATCTTGTAAAATATGAATGGAGGAGTCAGGAGAGTTACAACTAAGGAGACAGGATCGTTGTGGAAGGACATTTCCTATAAACATCGTATTTTGTCTAGGTCCTAAAAAGTAAATAAGATAATATTCATAGTAAAATAAATAAAAAATGAAAATAATAAGAAGAAAAAAATATAATATTTTACAACAAGAAAATATATATATATATATATATATAAGTTGAGTATAAAGATAATAAAAAATATATATTCAAGCTAGATCACAATATAATAATTGAAATAATCAAAATATAATATGATTTGAAGATTTCAAGATAATCTAATATCTAATATTAAGATTGGAATATTTTAAAATAATATAATAATCAGGATATAATAATAGAAAAGATAACAATTAATATTCAATCTCTAGATAATGATAATAATAATAATAATATAATAATATATAAAATACTAATATTGATGATGATAGGATGGAGATATTGGAGAAACCCTAGATGTATGGGTCTACATAAAGGAAAGCAAAAGGAGAGCATAAGACAGTGATAGAGAGACTTAAGGAGACAGTTAGAGAGAGAACAATAGATATTCAAGTAGATTGAAATTCATAAAGGTAAGTTTACATTCTCTCATCTTTAAGTATGAATTAAAATTTATTCCTTATTGGTCACTTGTTTCACACGTAACATTGTGAGAATCAATTCTTTAATCCTTGCTTGCATCATCCTTAAATCTCAAGACATTGGATAAGACGCGAGAACCAATTCTTATTTTCCTCTTGCATCATTTATTTCCTTGATTGCATCGTCATTGGACCTCAAGGTGTCGAATAAGAAGAAATTTTTTAAAGTTATAATAGACAGCTTAATGAATAAGCTTGGCATCATTTAAAAGGTTTTCATCAAGGTTTTACCTAATTTATTTGTTGTGAGAAACTTTTCGAATCCTCATAAATTTTTAAGTTAATTAATTTGGCATAGATGGGGATAAATTATCAACATGTGCGTCTACAAGGCGTTTTGTATTTTTGATTGCGTGAGACTTTCAAAGTCTATGCAAGCTTATAAATTAATTAATTTATTATCCTGTGCATAGCAATAAATTATCGCATATACATAGTTTTAAAATCATCAATTGTGTGAGACTTTCAGAGTCCTCGTACATTTATAAATCAAATAACTTATCCTATGCAACGATAAATTATCGCAAGTACATTTTAAAATATTTTATCCTTAATCAAAATAAAAAGTTTTCCTAAAATAAATAAGATAAAATAAATTATATTTGAAAGATTGATTTGGATACATGAAATTTTCATAAATCTTATCAAAATATTTTTCCAAGATTATCTCTAAAATTTTATCACAAATAAAGAAATAAAATATTTTCTTAAATAAAAAACTACAAACTAACACTAAAAATTATTTTATAAAAAATTAATAATTAATTTTTTTCTTAAAAATTTTTCAACCAAGAGACAAGCATTTTTACCCCAAACTATGTGGGCTTTGATCCATTAAAAGGGTATATAGGCCCTAGGGTTTCATCCTAGGTCAAGTTCAACTAATAAATAAAAAAAATTTCCTTTTTAATTTTCTTACGTTTTATCTTATTTTTATTAATGATAATTAACATATTTTTTAAGACATTTAAATTTATATAGTTAACTTAAGGTAACCATCCACATGAATGGGTGTTGTTAAGTGCCTAACACTTTTCCTTCATACAATCGACTCTCTTACCCTTTTATCTATATGTAGACTGCATGTTAAAAAGGTTTCCAAAATTACTTATAAAATTTTGGTGGCGACTCCTAAAATATTTATATTTTTATTCAATTTTCCTTCTCGGGAAGTTTCAGATTGGGCACGACAAATTCCCATTATAGAGATAATGATTGATTTGAAGACAGTCCCAACGAGCTTTCTAGAAAAAGTACTTAATTTTCTCATAAGTGGGCCATCTTTAAATTTTGGACTATATATTTGAATGATTCTGAATCTGATGAGCCTCCATAGCTTCATAGACAGATTTGATAGAGAAATTGCAATCAAAGGAAGGTATCTAAAAAAGAATGTCTTCACCATGCCAATTAGGAGGTTGCATGAGAGCAATATGTTTAACAACATTATGGTAGAGATAACATTTTATGATATCAAAATTCCAACTACCAGTAGGCTTACAAAAATTTGAGAATCCAGTATGGAGGATAGAATCAGCATTATAGAAGGCGTGATTGATAAGAGGGTCAAGGAGAGAAGTTCATTTATCATACTAAAAAGAAATTTGATCTCCTATACTAACTTTCCAACCAATGTGAGATAAGAAAGTATCCCAAATTTTACATATTCTACTCCAAGTATATGAACAAGAATTTAGTTTAACAACCATAGGGATTTTAGGTTTGGTGCAATTATATTTGTCACGTAAGACCTACACCCAGAGACAATCAAGTTTGGTAATGAGACCCCAATAAAGCTTCATTATGAAAGCAATTTTTTAATTTTTGAGATTTTTGAAGCCAAGACCCCCAACCTTTCTGTTAGAAGTAACACATTCTCAAGATAGGAGATAGAGTTTTTTGTTCCCATTAGAAGAATCCTAGAGAAAATTGCTAGAGATTTTATCCAACTCAGCTAAAACATTATCAAACAAGAGTATAGTTTGCATAGTATAGTTGGGGATAGCTACGAGAACAGATTTTATTAGAATAGATTTCCCTACAATGTTGAGGTAGCAATTTTTTCAATTAACCAAACGCAAATTAGTCTTATTGATTAACAGCGTAAAGGTAACCTTTGTTACCCTCTCATGAATAATAGGGATTCTAAGATATTTTTCAAGGTTACTAATTAGAGGAGTTCTTAAATCATCGATAATTTGTAATGCTTTGTTAATGTTGACATTTTTGGAGTAATAGAATTTAGATTTTCCATTATTGATCTTCTGTCTAGAAGTATTACAAAAGTTTGAGAGACATTGTTGGATAATTTAAGCTTACAGAAGAGATGTTTATGCAAAGAGCAAAAGATCATTAGTGAAAAAGAGGTGAGAAATAGGAGGCTTATTAGATGTTAGTCTAATA